CTGCTATAATCATTGGTGTGCATATATCTTCTGCTGCTATAAACATTGGTGTGCATATATCTTCTTGTGTACAAAAGTTCTCTTGAAGTGTTAAAGACCCAAGATGTCATTTTGAGGATTAAGATGCACCCGATCCAAGTCATGGTATTTTCAGTGATGTGCTTGTGAAACTGGACTATGAATAAGGAAAACAGAAGAATTATTGCCTTTGAATTGTGATGTTGATGAAGAATATTAAATATATATATCATTCTCCTCCCAGAATAACAGACAAATCTGTCTTGGGAAAAGTATAGCCAAAATACTCCATAGAAGTGAGGATGGGTAACTTAGTATTATGTAAGTCTTATGTCCTTTGTCATCAGAAGGGACCAATTCCCTGGAGGAGGACATCATGCTTGATAGAAGGTCAATGAAAAAAGAGAAGGCCTTTGGTAAGATAGACTGACACAGTTGTTACAATAATGGTGGTCTCAGGTCACTGTGAGTCGAAAGCAGTTTGATGACACCTAACTACAACAACACCAGTGTTATTTGATTATAAAAGTTAAGTAGATTCTGTTCTAATTCTTGTTCAGTCTTGCCTCACACTCACTCTTGGTCTTCACATGAAAAACTAAGCCTTAACCCAAAGCAAGGCTATTATCATTCAAAACTTTCTGGAATCAATAGCTAGGTTGCCTGAGTGAGGCAAAGCATCAAACTTTGCATGTTTACTAGTACATTAGTTAGGCAACCAGAGGCTTAATTGTGACTTTGTGGGAAGAACCTGACACTGGTCTGCAGGCTCCCGACTCTATCCCTCACCAGCGCTGCAATCTCTCTCCTAGGGGCTTGACCTCTTAGTGAAAAATTGAGCAGTTGGTCTGCTTGTTGCTAAATGCTGTTCAAATACTAAGAGGTATGTTTTAAGCAATGAGCTGAGAAGGAACGTTCTCCTAGGACAAGTCACTGCTCATCACAATCATCCATCCCAGGGAATTGAGAGGTGACGACGTTTATATCAAGGAGCTCTGGTAGCATAGTGGTTACGAATCAGGCTGCGAGCCGCAAGGTCAACAGTTTAAAACTACCAGCTGTTCCACAGGAGAAAGATGAGGCTTTCTGCACCTGTAAAGATTTACAGCCCTGGAAACCCTGCGCAAGGTCACTATGAGTCGGAACCGACTCTACGGTACTTAACAACAACAACGTTTATGTCATTCCTATTCTGACCTCCTTCTAAAGTATATGCAATATTGTAATTCTCAGGTAATCCCTGGGAAGTATTCAAACATTACTGTCCTCTCTTTTTGGCTAAGAAAACCACTCCAAACCTCAGAGTAAGATGATGGCAGAACAGCATAACGGAAGCCTTTTATTAATTGCACATTATAGCATGTGCCTTTGGAGTGGTCTCAAGAGACAGCTTGAATATTGAAATGTCTACTTAATTCAGTCAGATGATCTGAGTGGCAGCCAGAATCAAAGGTAACATATTAAGATGAAATGGCCAGGTCTACTTGATTTGAAGTGATAACCGTGATGCAAACTGTGAGTGGAAAAGTCATGGGTGTGGGGTGGGAGGAAGGAAGTGGTGGACATACCATGGGTAGAATTGTTTTTTAATAAGACTAAACAAAAGTCATTAGAAAACTGGTTAAGGAATAGGTTTTTACTAGTTGCTGTTGTTGTTTAGGTGCCATCGAGTTGGTACTAACACATAGCGACCTTATGCACAGCAGAACGAAACACTGCCCAATCCTGGGCCAACCTCACTATTGTTGCCACGCCATTGATGCTGCCACTTGGCCAATCCATCTCGTTGATGGTCTTACTCTTTTCCTCTGACCCTCCACCTTACCAAACATGATATCCTTCTCCAGTGACTGCT